TGGCTTCCGAAACCGAAGCAAGCCATTTCTTCTCACCGTTTGGAAGTGTTATTCGAAGTCTAGCAGGGTAGAGAAGCGCAGGCTTGAGTCCTCGTTTGTAGAGTGATGACTTACACGGCTGATTTGGGTAAGCCGACTATTCGAATGTTTTGGCGCCGGCTGTGACTCTCAAGATCGGAGACTTTAGCTTTAAGCCACTCGTTGTCCTTCTGGAGCCTCGAACATCTAGCGTTGAGTTGATCGAGCTGCTGACTAAACTCTGTAGTACCGGACTCAAGGTTTCCGATGCGAAGGTCATGATCAGCCACCGTGGATTGAATGTTGTCAAGCTTGGTTTCCAAACTTACAAAAGATGTTTTGAAATCCTCTGCGATTGAGGCTTTAAGGTCGTCATGTAGCGCACGAATCTCGGCCAACGTGATGTTAACATTCGGCTCTATTTCAAAGGCGAAATATGTCGCAGAACAGTAAATAAACGAATACTGTCAGAAACTAACAAAAGCACTGAAAAGTTTTTTGGGAGCTGACCACGCGCACCTCTACTCCTCAGGCACCATAACCAGAACTCCCACCATTTATCTTTAAAATACTCTCAGCGTTGTCGGCACCGGTAGCCTAGTGGTACTGCGCGCTGACATATAGCACCAGCATGCTCGTGGCGACCCGGGTACGATTCCTGTCTCGAGGTCCTTTGCCTATCCTTCCCCTTTCTCTGCTCCCAATGCTTTCCTGTCTGAAGTCTCTACTGTCCTGTCAAAATAAAGGTGAAAAAAACCTAAATATAATAATAATAATAATAATAAAATACTCTTAACGTCACAATATAGAGCTTTAATCATTGATATGAAATCAGAATTAAAACCAAAAGCAGTTAAAACCTTCCATAATAATCAACCCTATCAAATGCTTTTTCTTGATCGATCGAAATTAAGCCAAAATCCAAAGAAACATAACGATTGTCTAAAATATCTCTTATAAAAGATATATTATCAGTTATGCTTCGACCAGGAACACAGTATGTTTGATCTGAATGAATAATTAAATCTAAAACTTCTCTTAATCTATTCGCAAAACTTTTTGATAATATTTTATAATCATTGCATAGAAGGTCCATCACATGCTCTGTACAATTAAAGTCTCCCCCTAACAACAAAACATCTTCAGGACTGCAATCACCCAACACTTTGCACAGAGTGTGTAAAAATAACATTCTCTCAGCAGCAATATTTGGAACATAAACACAAACCAATACAAAAGAAAAATTATTATCATAAATAATTGACTTTCAGCAGTCTACCTTTGATCCCTTCTTCAATTTCATAGTGTGTGGGTATAACATTTTTTGAAAACAAAATAGCAACACCATCAATAAGTGACGTACAATGACTCAGTACTGATAGTCCATCAAAACTCATTTCCCATTCTACTGCATTTGTCAAGTCCCTATGAGTCTCTTTTAAAAATAAAACATTAACTTTTTCTGTAACATAGTTTCAAAAATGTGTGCTCTCTTTCTAATCTCTTGCACTATTGATATTTAATTAGGCAAAATTTCCCACTCCCATGAATAGAAAGAGAGTCAACACACAAAGTAAAGAATAAGCCATACTCATGTAAGATAATTAAAGACTTTAGCCATTTTGACTGCTATCACTAAAATCTGATTGTGCATTTATTTTGGTAATATATTTCCTTAGGCGGAATACCTCCTGATCAGAAAAAAAGATTCTCCTTTTGGAACACTTTAACTTTGTCTATAAACTGGGAATTGTCAGGGGAAAACTCTTAAATTTTTACTCTTCTGACATGTTTTGTCACTTTTTAAAAGTGCTTAATGTCATCTGCCGTGTACACTCTGCTGGAAAAACCACTACAAGGTAGACTGCCCGACTATAATCCGATACTTCGCCTTCACTATCAGTTTCATTTTGACTGCTTTCCCTCCCCTCCACTTTTTTAGTTGGTTTCCTTGTATATTTTTCTTTTAATTTTCTTTTTTGCGGTTTTTTTAAATGAGTAATCAACCAGCTCAAGTGCAGACTCCATCACAAACGGTTCTATCAACATCTGTTCTCCACGTCTCGATGCATTATCCTCATCATCGGATTTACTTGCAGGAGCTATCAACACTTCATTCTCTGCAGCATTCTTATCTTTACCAACATCAAGCACTTTTTCTATTCCATCGGCTTGTATTTCTGTCAGTATGCTTTTGTCATGTTGTTCTCCCTCATCTAAAGCCGCAGCACTTGTGTGCTGTGCTCGTCTCCTCGGCAACCGCAGCTTCACTCTGAGAAGCGCAGGCACTTTTATTAGCAGCAGACTCATCTCTTTTTTCATTTTGGGGCACTTTTTGGGTACAATCCATAGACTAAAATATATAGATGTAGTATCCGTGACGTCACCCATAGGTTTCTGAAGAGCGCAAAAAAAGCCACAAGTAGGCGCGGCCAACCGTCGCCATTTTGTTTGCGCGTCATCGCACTCACGGCGGGATACCAAACAAGTGCAAAGAAGCGGAGAGTGAGCGGAGCTACAGACACCTGCTGGCATTTTGCTTGGACCTGGTTCAGACACACTTTACTTTGGGAGAATGCTACCTGTGACTCGTTTGTGTTCTGACCACATGTGCTTGGTTGTACACTATATCAATAAAGTGTTTAGACTTTTAAAAATACTGTAGTAATACATTGAGCCACTAAGTATTGTTCTCATGACGTTTTTTCAACAGGAGGAAAACGCAAACTACTTCCTTCGTGACTGAAATTTAAAGTCAAATCCAAATCTTCTGTGTTGTCTTTGAGGATCATATACACGAACCATCTAAAAAACAATACATGTTTAAGGAGGGAGGATTTACTCCCGATCAAGATCATCTTAACAGTCGAAACTAGTTTTCCATAACATGATAACATATCTGCTAAAACCTTGTTTTTTACAAACGGAGGCACATTTGAAAGCATACCACGTTTAGTTGGAGTAGAAAGGGGGAGGATCTGCATGAATATCCTGTTTATTTCAAGCCCCGTCTTAACTAGTTTATTTGCCAAATCGATAGTTTTAACAAAAATTACAACCGCGCTGTTCATTCGTGAGGCAACAAGATGTTTTCACATTCAATTAACATGCCTACAGCCAAACTACATTCCTCAACGCCCTCTGTTGAGTCAATTTTGACCGCATGTTTTCAAGTTAAATGGCTAAAGATCTCTGCCATACTCTCAATATAAACACTGGGAGCTAAAAAACTACCAGCGCTCTCACTATCTTACAACTGATTATATTAAGTATTTAATCAAAAGAAAAAAAAGGAAAGAAAAAGGAAAAAACAAACAATCACTCGTACCTGCTCTCGTACACACGCTGCACTCAGCCCTCCATTCACACACACATGAGCAAACAGAGAGAGAGAGAGAGAGAGAGAGAGAGATCGGCGAAGAGCTAACTGCTAACATACCTGAAACAGATGTCAACAAACACGGAACGAGAAGGGCGGGGCTGGAGGTGACACATCACCTAGCACAGCCAACCGGCTCTAAAATAGGCAACAATTGCCCCTGATTGGCTGTTAAAAACGTCAATTACTACCACTTATCCTATACACTGTAACACTAGCTATAAATACCAATCACTAACATAGTTATATTGAAACTAACAACAAACTGTACAACTATAAGTGGTTTTATAAAAAAGAAGCAATGAAAAAGTAGCTTTACTGGACTGATGCTTTTAAGATGTCATCGTTTCCCCACTGGTTCTGTCGCTAGCTCTTTTCTATGGCTAAGGTCAAGTAAGCCTTTTCTGATTGGCTGAATTTCTCTAAAAGCCCACATTTTGATTGGCAGATATACAAGTCACTTTTGCACCAAATATCACAGTGATATTTGGTGCAAAAAACGAGAAAGCGAAACTTAGATTTGCAAGTGAAAGATGTGCAAGTTTTGCCTGTGACTTTAAATTGTGGATGCAGGTGTATGGATGTGTTTAGCACCATATTCACTGCAACAATAGCAAAGAGCATAAGCGGATGAGTTTCTGTATTTGTGATTCATCCAATGAGATTTGTGCACCTGCACTGAAGGATTTAAAAAGGTTTAAATGTTGCGTTGTTTTTGTTGGAGACAAAAAATACCTACACACTTGAAAAATTGCTCTGCAAGTACAAATTTACTGATACACATTAGCAAATTTGTTCTGCGAGTACAAATTTAATGATACACATTTGTGGCTATTCTTTACAACTACAAATGACACTTTTACAGCTGCTTGGGAGTTGTGCACCAAAAATACCTTCATATAAAACAATCTGTCTCATCGCTTATTCCCTTCAAGAGACAGTTGTGCCACGTCATGGCGCATTTGCTCCTTACATGGTGGACTTTGTAAGTGGAAAAACTGAATCGAAAAACTAAATGCTTCACTAACAAGAAAACGGTTAAACAGACCATTTCCATGAAGATAAATAATAAGCCTCCTCCATTCGGCCTTTTTACTTTCTCTACTTTTACTCTTTACTGTACTCCTTTACTTTTGTGAATAAGCAAATGGTGTTGTACACACTCCACTGAGGACATTCACTGTGGTCAAAAAACCTATATCTTAACACACATTCTATCTTATAGCCCATATGGTGATGCATAAGTCTCCAAAACTCAATAATATTTTATTTATAATAAAAATGCAAATTGTCATAATTGAACTGAAAAAAGCCCCCGGGACATGAAGAAAGCATGGAGGTAGTGTCTTTAGACCAGCTCAGCTTTTACTTTTCGATGGCGCTTTCTATTTCAGTTTCTCAAATATAGCAATGCACCAACAATGCACCTTATCACACCTCCTTTATAGACAGGCACTTCCATGAGTGCAAAAATGTCTACATCCTGCTTGTTCAAGCCTAAATTTAGTGCCAAAAACTCTTAATCTTCCTTCAGAATATCAGCCTATTAAAATCTAGACTAGACCAAGTTGCAGACTATTTAAAACCATGACAGAGAAAGCAGTTTTCTGTTTGCAAAATAACAATTTATTAAAAAACTGCTCCATAATGTATGTTATATACAGTACTTAAAACACTCATATATATTAAAAGAAAGAAATAAAATTCATTGCGACTTACACTACAATAAAGCAGATAAAATATAACAGGTAATTAAATCAGAAATCAGAATAGTGTCATCAACTTTAAACACTTGAGAATGCAATTGATTAATAATAGTTGTTTTGGAAAAATTTATGAGCAGTGGATTCAAATAAAAATAAAAGCTGCAAGCAACAATTATGAGGCCAAGCAGCCCAGCAGCCACATCATAAACAAGCAAGGAAACAAGCTACAGAACAACGGGGAAATTCTATAACTGTTTGGCAGAATGGTCTGCGCCAAATTTGATGGAAATTGGGCTAACAATCTAATGAAAGTTAAAAACAATAGATTTACAAAATAATTCATAATAGTGGAAAGGAAGTTGTGTCAATTAAAGAATAAATTATATCAATGTACTCTGTATGATCCAAGGAATCTGCAAGACCAGTCACAAGACAATAAACGGAACTATTCAAAAGTCATTTGATAAATTTTGTATGACTTCTATTGATAGAAATTAATTGTTTGTCAAATTTACCCAGAAGGTGGCGCAAACTGACGTAGTTTGGTCAAAGTCAGGTCTGGATCACACACAGTAAGTTTGGTTTCAATACTTCAAACCATTGCAGTAATTTAACCTGTAATGTCATCTGGCAGCAATACATCAAGTTTGCGCATATGCTAAATAAGAACAGTTTTGTCTATCAACATGAATGCCATAAATTTTGGTCTACATGGTAGGAGGATGATCCAAGTCAAATTTGGTGAAGATTAAAGATTAAAAGGGCAGACAGGACGTTTGGCAGATCATGCCATAATTGGTGTCTGTTTTATTGGCATGATGCAAGGAAAAATTTGAATTTCATCAAAATAAGCATGTGCAGTCAAAAGTTATTACCAAATTTGTAAGGTTCATTAATAATGGCTAATGAATGTCTTATAACTCTTGACCCATAGGGCGCCATAGTCACTTAATTTACATAGTGTTGTCAGTGTGAGGCGATAAAAAAAAATTGGTGTCATTATCTTTAACTATCGCAGAGATAAAGCCTCAGATGTAGTTTGGCATCATGCCATCACATTTGTGATTCAGTAAACAAAAACCGTTACACCTATCGATACAAGTTCAATAACTTTTTGTCAGTATGGTCTAAAGATGATCTGATTCTAATTTGGTGCAAATCAGCCAAACAATGTAGGAGTTCAAAAAAGTAGGTTTTTAACTTAATTCTAGATGGCGGACAGTAGGGGTGTCAAAAATAATTGTTTTTTCTGTGCACCGCGATGCAGACACAGACAATTCGGTATCGATTTAGTAATAATCATAACCGGTTATAATGTACTGACGTCATTTATCTCCTATGCTCTCTGTCGTGAGGGAGGTGAGCGCCGGTATTTACAACACTCAGCCAACTCAGGGCCGGCCCGTGGCATAGGCACCATAGGCAAATGCTAAGGGCGCTGTACATCCAGGGGGGCGCTTCAATTGTTTTCGATTTTCCTGACACACATTCAGTTATAGACGGCAATTACTCAAAAACCTCTTACCCTAAAAAGATCTAAAGTGTGTTTCCTACAGAAAGACAAAGCTGGTTATGTTTCACAGCTGTCTTTCTTTTTTTTCGCTCGACATTACGAGCACTGCTCCGTTTAAGCCCTCGCAGTCAGCGTTTACTGCGTTTAAAAGTGCTTATTTTTTTCGTTTTTTTTTTTTTTTTCGTTTTTTCTGCTCCGCTCAGCGTGAGCTCTCCCTGTTGCAAGGACTTAAGTGTGTGTGTTTGTGTGTGTGTGTGCGCGTGTGTGTTTGTTTGTTTGATGCTGTCTATGTTTTTGAATGTGTTTGAATGAGCGACAGTGTGGTGCTGTGTGTCTGTGTGTTATACAGACAGCATGTTATAGCCTCCCCCCTAAAATATAACACTGTATATGGAAAGCATCGTCAATGCACTGTGATGCACCGAGATATCGAATTGAACCGAATCGATGGCATGATAATCATAACCGAATCGAACCATGAGACCAGTATAGGTTCACACCTCTAGCGGACAGCAAGATCAGCTAATTAAGGCATAATTATAATTGATATCAATATTCTCAGGACCACCCACGGAATGTATCAAGACAAGTTTTATAGCAATATGCAAAATTAGTCACAAGTTATTAGCCTTTTTAGAAATATCATTATAACATTTTACCAAAAGGTGGCACTGCGAGAAAACGTTTTGATCACCATTATAAAAACTTTTATAACAATTTGCCAATGCATCCGTAAAATATGGCAATTTTTGACATAAAATAAAATAGCCACCTGCCAAAATGGCTGGCTCAGCATGCTCCGCTGGATGCAAAGAGACAATTTTTATGAATTTTGGACCAAGGGTTGAGAAATAAGCAAAAAGCCATTTTTTGTATCTCCGGAGCACTTGGGGGCAGTGTGCCGAAACGCTGCAGCTCACTACAGTCCATGGTTGTGATAACACACACCAAGTTTGGTGTGAATACATTAGTGCATTACGCAGATAACACTGGTTCATAGGGCCATAGACTCCCAGAGCGTAAGATGAAGAAGAAGCCGGAAAAATAATAATAAGAACCAGAAAGGATTCAATAGGTGCATACGCACCTTCGGTGCTTGGCCCCTAATAATATTTAGTGACCTACTACAAACACATTTGTAATATCTGCTATATTAGTGAAAAATCTTAGGTTTTATTGCTTGACAAAAATGACACATGCAGCCTATATCAACACCAAGCTACATCAAGTCAGATAAGTTAAGAAATAGACCACTAAACTGTATCACTGTATCTGCGACAGTTGAGTGACAATGAAAAGACTTTCATATCACATTTAACATCTATCTTTGGTTTAACAACAAATTAATGACAAACAAAACAAAGTTTTTTCAAAACCAATTATATGGACACCTACAGTAAAATTAAAATACACAAAATATACAGAGAAAAGAACCAGAAAAAATTTTTAAATTTATGATATCAATAATGCATATTTAGGTAGGTATCACTTGACTTAAGCAAATATTGCTCATAAACGACAACCAAAAAGCTAATTTTATAATATTATTTAGGTGGAGTGAAGGGCCAGAACAAATATTATACCAAAAAACTCTCTAAATGTGACAAATTCTTCATAATTCGGGTTATGACTGTGGTATATTATAGCTTAAATTCACGTTTTTACTTCAAACCTTTCAAACGATATACAGACTATTACTGAAATTAGGTTTAAAAAAGACAGTCATAACTCCATCACATGAATTGTTTACTCAGTTTCATTCACTTGGGCCAAGTTGACAAAAACACAACTGCAAAGTTAATAGTTTGGAGCAAATTATGTAATAATCGAGAATGAGTTGCAATATCTGAATGTATTTCATCTGTAGTCATCTGTTGTGAATCATTGTTTTTTTCAGGTAATTGTGAAGTAAAGCTTCAGTAAAGCTTTTTGTTATAATATAAGTGTGTTCAGAGGCACTTCTGATAATTGTCGATATCTTACTGGATTTGAAGTTAAATTTGAAACATAAAGGTTATCTAGCACAGTTTTTAAACTGTTGTGCAATATACCTTTCTGCTGTCCCTTTTTAGTAAAATACATCTTTCTATTAATAAATATACATTTGATCTTCTTTCATGCATATCTTCTATTATTTAAAAGTACAATATTATGTTTAAAAGCCAGCTTGCAAATTACACTAGCCTTCAAATAGGTCAGAAACGATGAGGTGGGAAGTATTTAATATACACACAGTACATTACAAGCCTGTAATGGTGACAGATAACGTGAGACATTATTTTCTGTAAACTGTGTTGTTTTCAATTTTATGGACATTAAAGAAAGTCTATTTTTGGAAGTCTATTAAAATCCATAAATATAAATGACCCATTTTTGGGTGGCAAAATTACTATTTGCAATTAATCAGAGACATGAATGTATATTTATTTTAAAGGTAGAGCTTCATATTAAAAGAAAATCAGGGTAGTTATTGTGTATGTATAATACATAAATGCACAAATGATTTAAAAACATGGATTTTAAAAGGTGCAAAAAAAAAAAAAAAAAAAAAAAAATCAACAAAAAAATTATCCAATGCAGTTATAGTAGTATCAGTATGGGCATTAGCAGTGGTTCTTATATCATATTAAAAGTAGATGAGGGTAGTTATTGTGTATGTATAATAAATAAATCCACAAATTATTTAAAAACATGGATTTTAAAAGGCACAAAAAAAAAAAATAAATAAAATATCCAATGCAGTATTGTACTTGTATTGAAACAATCAGTATGGGCAGTAGCAGTGGTTGATGAGGTATGCATAATTATGTGCACAATAAAGTTATTGTAAACCATCTATGCATGCGTATGCATTAAACAAGCAGTTTTTAGGCTTCAGCTGTATTGTTCATCTAACCATCTTGTACTGGCTATCTAATCCATGAGCTCATGAACCCGCCACCAAACCCCCCTCCCCGACCCCACCCCACCCCAAACCAGTTTTTCTATACATGAGAGCGGATTGTCAGGTTGAGTTTTAAAGGATGTCTGCTTCTGAAAGGCAAGAACCACAGAACCTTCCAGCGAGTGCCAAAAACCTCAGCCATTGCTTGCTGCCAAGGCCGCCGTGGTCTGTTGAGGGAAATTGAAAAAGAAATTAAAGTATGCAGTGTAAGTTTTGTGAAAAATCTCATTATGAATATACAGCCAAGCCCAAAATAATTCATAACACTCCTGGCAAATTGTGACTTAAAAGTTACCTTTATTCAACCATCAACTTTTTTTTTATTCATACCCCTGGCAAACTCTGACTTAGAGTTACTTTAATTGAACTAAAAAGTTGATGAAACTAAAAAATCATAAGGTCGCTAGTTCGAGCCCTGGCTGAGTCAGTTGTCAGTGTTGGTGTGGGATTCCTCCGAGTGCTCCGGTTTTCCCCACAATCCAAAGACATGTGCTTTAGGGGAATTGATTAACCAAATTGGCTGTAGTGTATGAGTGTGAGTGTAAATAAGTGTGTATGGGTGTTTCCAAGGGCGTACTCGCACTATGCACAGTTGCCACACTCACATTGCATTCAAGACTAAGCACGCTTACGTCATTGATGATGCGCTGTTCAGTAAGCGCTCTCACTCAGCACAGTGGAGATTTCTTTATTTCTTTATATCGTTTTAACTATTTGGGATGCAGTAACACAGTCCAATATTTTGCAGAACAAATCAGCCACTTTTGACACATACATTTGATATAAACAACCATAAAGTCCTTTTGCTGCAGGAATAAGAAGGTTTGCTAAAGCTGCAGCTGTCGTGCAACGAGGGATTTGCGTCTTAAATAATCTACGACAGTTTGCGTTCATTGAACAATAAGAATGGTTAATAAATCCATATGAAACAGTCCCTTAAAAATCATGTCTCATCTTCAGTTTCAGAGCCCAAGTGAACCGCACTCTGGCACACCTTTTCCAACCCCGCAAGGGCTGGCCAATTGAACCATGCCTGAGCCTGATTCAGAGCACTCACACTTCTCAAACGATCCGGAAAATAGACCTGGGCACGGTTTGGATAGCATAGTGTAAATGCGCCCCAAAACTGGGTTGGTGCTGGAACGGCATTCACCATGTAAAATATATGCCGAAATAGTTGGCAGTCCATTCAGCTGTGGTGACCCTGAATTAGAGACTAATCTGAAGGAAAAGAAATGAATAAATAGCAATAGTTAATTTGTATTATAATAAGTGCTCTATTAACTTCATCTAGTTTTGTGGCCTACAGTGAGGATTGTTTATGCTTTGTAAATCCCTTATAAATGACAATCAAAGACCGTTATATTCTAAAAAATTAAATTCATTATTTTATATCAAATGAAAAATAAATCTTATCTAAAATGAAATTACTGTACAGTTTAAACATCGCTAAATAACACTATATTGTTGCATCAAAAAATATCAATAAATTATAATATTGTTGTTGTTTTATCCAGTTTTATGTTATATTTTGGAACTTCTGTAATGTTCTGTAATGTTCAGCAATGTTTAATATTTACAGTAATGAAATTTATTTAGATAAGATTGTAAACATTTATTGTTCATTTAATATCGAGCCTTTAACTGTCATTTATAGGGATTTATAAGCATAAATAGTCCTCACTTTAGATTAGGGGTCCGTTCTTCGTACGTGGATTACTCAGTTAGCTGGATTTGGATATTGACGATTTGACATGATCCAGGATCGTTTCGTTCTTCAAAGCTGATCCGAGAGTTGTTGTCATGGCAACAGTTCTGCTAGGTCAAACCTGATCGGGAGCAGGTTCAATTCATATAAACAGGATTAGATCGGCTCAGTTCAAGCAAAGATAATACAGTAAGTATGTTCCGAATTCTGATATTTTCTTACAGTAGTAGTTATATACACTTGGGAAAATGGTACATATTTTTAACTATATATATAAAGTTGAAGTCATTAATAAAATAAATAAAGTTATACATATTAATAAAACGTATGCAATCTGCACCCTCGAAATGAACAAAGACTGCCATCTGGTGGTGCAAAGAGAAAACTTATTGGTATGAACTTTTTAGATTGCTTAGTACAAATTGTGTATAATAGAAATGCACAATATGTGACTTTTTTTTAAAGCAATAATACATTTATGCAGTCATAAACATGTTTTGACAGTTAATATGCCGGTGATTGATGCTTCACAAAAGTTGCAGACACCTTTACCAATATGAAAATGCTTTTGTAAACAACTAGTTATTCTTTACACCGATTAAAAAACGGATACTATTATAAAGAAAATCTTTTCTAAATGTAGAACTAAATACATTGATTTGCATTGAAATGCATGATGAATACTCTTGTCTCGACAAATGAAAGTGTAAAGCCTGCAGCTCACAACAAATGTGGAAAGTTCTTGCGTGTCATATTAAACAAACCGTTTACTGCTAATTTGAAGTAATTTTGCTCACATGGATAATTGAATATTAATCAGATGATGTCATTACGCTGCTGTGCCGTCAGCCCATCGCTGCATTGCTGATCATGATTTCGAGGATCGATAGATCTGTCCTTCACCACACACGCAGCGATCTCAGATCAGTTCATCCAGACATTCTAATCTAATTCGCGAACTTGTTTGAAGAACCAAATTAGCGAGAGATCAGTTATCAAGATTAAAAGATCCAGGATCTGCCAAATAATCTTAGATCATTTAAGCGAGGTACGAAGAACGGACCCCAGGTCACAAAACTGGATGAAGTTGAGTTAATAAAGCATTTATTAAGATACAAATTAACTATTACTATATGCCAGAATAATCAAATATATAAATGTAAATTTGAAAAGTTTATTAATTATTTACTTGCACATTCTGAATGATCTGAAAAAAAAAACACCAATTATGTCTAAATAACTGGTTTGTAAATAATGCAATATTTACCCGAAACTGAATAAATAATAATTCATAATTTACTCACTGTCTTTTCATTTTAAACCTGTATGACTTTGTTACCTCTGCAAAACACAAAATATCAGATTTTTAAGAATATTGGTAACCAAACAGGGGTGCCACCCATTCACTTGGTTTGGTTATGTGCTTGCTCTGGTTTGGTTACATAAGTGAATGGATGCTGCCCCTGTTCGGTTACCATCATTTTTCAAAATATCTCCTGTTGTGTTCTGTGGAAGTATGTCAGTCAGACAGGCTTAAAATGACAATAGAGTGAGACAAGATGATGATAATATCTAATTTTTTACAGGAGGGATACCATTAAAACACAGAATCTGTTTATTTTTTCACAATAGATATACTGTTAAAACACCAAAAAAAAGCCTGTTTTTACAGTAGGTAAATACTGTAATACTGTCCACATTATAACGATTGCCCACATTGGTCAGACTATGAGAATGTTACCCCAAACTTGATTAGATGAGTATCAAACATTTTTTCTTTTGAGTGTGTGCCATATTTTTGTTTTCATGTTATTTCCCGTTTTGTCAAAAAAGAGATAGTATATAACATGCATTTTATTGTCTTTGCTTTTCAAGTGTAGACAGACTATTAGAATGATGAATAGTGTAGACAGGTAGTTAGAGGATGTTTCTTTACTTTTATTTTGGCTCTTAGACTCTCTCATAAATACGCCAAAAATTATCTATATACAATGCAAGTAATCTTGTGTTCTTTTCGATTTTCTTTTTCTATTTTTTCCTCTCTTGATTTTTTTCATCAGAATGACACAAATGAAAAGAGGGTTTCAAGCAGGTCATTATACTGTACGTGCCAGAAGATAATGCAAACAGAAGGACCTGAAATGAAGGATATCTACCTTAATATCTACAATATTATCTTTTAAATGTCTATTCTATATTGGTTATAATGTTTCTGGATATAAAAAGGACATTTATCGAAGCTGCTGGGATCACATACTCACAGGGAAACAGGACTTGAACTAAGTGCTTAAAGGAACCAACGATCATCTCAATGCTAGTGAATACTGTAAGAGTAGGCTCTACTGGTGGCTTCAAAGCTTGCTGTTTGCTCCAACACTACACAGTACTAAGTAGTACACCTGGCAACGTAGGAGCAATCATCTTAAGACAGCGTTCTTTTATCTTAAGTGGTTTATTTTGTTTTTTGTTTATTTTTTTGCATATGTCTTCTTTTACACTTTTTTGCGTATGTCTTCTAATCCACGCTAACACGGGGAGAACATGCAAACTCGACACAGAAATGTCAACAGACCCAGCCGAGGCTCGAACCAGCGACTTTCTTGCTGTGAGGCGACATCGCAACCCACTGTGCCACGGCGCCACCCTCTATGTAATGCATAATCATATGCACTCAAGGCATTCTCTCCTTGTACTATCTGCCAACTCCCCACAAGCATCAATCACCTCATCAGCACAGCCATGTTCTGCTAAATCTTCCACAAGCACCTAACCATCAACACAGCCATGTTCTTCCCCCTGCCAGTCAGTTTCAAACATAAAAAAAAGTAAAAAAAAAAATTTTATTAATTAATTAAATAAAAACATTCAAAGAACCTTTGCGTCTGTTTTGTGACAGGCAGATGACACTAGCAGGGCTGTATCTTTTAGTATTATATAGAATACACTTTTTGTTCTGCCCGATCTCCCAGTCAGGGGTTTATTTAGTTTTATTTAGTTAATTTTAGTTTTTGGAACTCTGTTCCATTGAAAATAAGTTCTTTCAGAAGAAGAACAGTTCTTTGAAGTGATATTTGTTTTTATTCTGTCTATTCAGTATCCTTCAGCAAGAACAGTGGTGGTGGGGTTCATAATGTTCGCAATGGTATTTTATTAGTTGTTGGTTTAACCATGCAGTGTTTAATGGCAGTTATGTTACTTTTTTTTTCAATGACGTTTCTTGTTACATGTTCAAAAACATCAACCAATAATGCATATCCATAATTATTTTAATGGATATACTTAAACAATACTTACACTGTAACGTAAATTAGAAATGTAATGGAAAATATATATTTTTTACGCCATTTTGAATTTTACTTGAATACAAATAAAAATGAAAAAAAAAAAATCCCTCCCTCAATAAATACAAATACAGATACAATTACCGGCTGCTCTGCACATCCCTAATAAAAACAAGTT